CATTTTTATCTANTTTATATCGTATGTCAAAACTTGATATAATTCTATATTTATAGTATTTATATTTGTATTAAACGATTTATCAATTTAAAAATAACCTTAATTAAGTTAATATTCGTTGTTTAAGTTTCATTAGATAGGTTTTTATATATGGTTTTTTGTAAGTTTGGGTTTTGTTCATAAATGATGTGGCATTTTTATCTACGGCGTCATCGAAGAATCCATTCGCCGAAGTCTAGAGTTGGTGGTGAGGAATGTTTTCAATGAAATTATAGTAGTTATTAAAATGTAAGATAAATTACATATTCATTTAATAAATAACGAAAAATACTTAAATTTTGTTGTTTATTTTATTTTATTTCACATACAAATTTTTTGAAAATATATTAGGAATGAGTTAAATGTGCGAAGTAAGTTTATAGGAATAGTTAGGCTATAATATAGTTTTTAGTGTGTAAAAGTAAGTGTTTTTTTGCTGTAAATAGTTTTTATATCGTAGGTCAAAACTTGATATAATTCTATATTTATAGTATTTATATTTGTATTAAACGATTTCTCAATTTGAAATAACCTTAATTAAGTTAACATTCGTTGTTTAAGTTTCATTAGATAGGTTTTTATATATGTTTTTTTGTAAGTTTGAGTTTTGTTCATAAATGATGTGGCATTTTTATTTACGGCGTTATCGACTGTGGGAATCCATTCGCCGGAGTCTGAAATCGGTGGTGAGGAATGTTTTCAATGAAATTATAGTAGTTATTAAAATGTAAGAGAAATTACATATTCATTAAATAAATAACGAAAATAATTAATTTTTGTTGTTTTTTTTATTTTATCTCGCATACAAATTTTTTGAAAATATATATTAGGAAATATGTGCAATGATTTCACTTTTTGAGCTCTTAATCTATATTATTCAAGCCTCATTAAGCCATCCACGTAGGTAGCCGCGTGGGATTCACTTCTTTTTTTTTTGGTCGGTTCATTTTTGGATTCATTTTTATTATTGGGTTGAACTATATTATAATAGGATAATTTTATGGCTCTTTAAGCCATCCGCTTAGGCAACCGTGTGAGACTTGCTTTTTTGTTTTTTGTTTTTTTATTGTTCGTTTTTGCATCCATTTTTAACTATTTTTAGTTTGAACTCGTTAAGCTTTAGGGTTTATCCAACTATTTTGATCTTTAAAACAATAAGTCACAAAAAAAAACATAAAAACCTTACAAACAAAAAGCCCATATGATAATAACCCAAATAAAAAAATCAAAAATAAATGATGGCTGCATGGTTTGAACCCACGATCTTGTATGCTTAATTAGACACCTTATACCACTTGGCTAAAGTGTATTTCATTGTTTATAATCATCTTACCAAAACTATAAGTTTTTTAAAAATACCTATGGGACCACAAAACTGCTGACGTGACGCATTGTGAAGCCTAGAAAGTGTATTATTATAATATAGATTAAACCAACTGTGAAATGATAACAACATGAAGAACAAAATCGAGTTTGGTTTGATTTACGCATCAAAAATCTTCTAAACAAAAACAAAAATCGCCAAGCGAAAATATGTAATCAGTCACATGATTGAAGTATATTACACCAAAAAAATAACAAAGTTCTCGTGATCCCTATGAAAGATTGGGTATAGTTAATAGGAATCGAAGAGAGAGTGTTTCTCTCTAGTCTAGACAAACTTGACCTCCAATAGTTTAGATTTTTTATTTTATTTATTTTTAATTATTTATAAAGATAATAAAGTAAAAGAATTTTTTTTAACAAAGTGATTTTCGTTTGTCAAATATCACTTCTGTGTTAAGAATTTAGTTTAGATCATAACTTTTAATTTTTGGAAATCAAGATTTAGAATGAAAATTTTATAATTTTTCGACTGTAACTGCTTTTACTGATTTAGTTTTTCAAAACTATCTTATTATTGTTACTAGAGGCATAAATCCCGCACAAGCACGGAGTCGGGGGGATAGTTCATGTATTCCATAATTTTATTATATCTGACGTTTGACATATAAGTTGAACCGATATGACGTGTGATAGTCTTTCGAATTAATTAACAAAGTTCTAAAATGCCATATATTGGCTACCAATATGCAGTCTTGTTAAATGTTAAAGGTTCTTCTCAATTTTCTCTAATTCCCATAAATTTCATTTTGTATATATTTAGAGAATCCCAGAAACGGAGGCGGCAAGCAACCATAAACTGAGTAGTTCAACCAAGGTAGGGAGAATTGAAAGTTGAGAGGCATGCAACGGCTTTAGCAACTGGAGCAGAAGATGAAGTCCTTGTAGAGAAGATGTAAAAAAATTTAACTGGAAGAATAATCGATGAGAGAATCAGAGATTAAGGACTCCTCCGTTAAGATATAGTATATATTAAGCAGAATGTAGTAGGTGTTACGAATGTGGTCCATCATTAATTAACGGAGTAAAAATTGGTCCCTTATGCAGTCTTGTTAAATTTCAAATGTTCTTCTCAATCTTCTCTAATTCCCATAAATTCACTATTTTCTTTATGTTCCGGAAATCCCAGAAACAGAAGTGGCGAACAACCACAAACTCAGTTCAACCAATGTAGAGAGAATCCAATGTTGAGAGCCATACAACGGCTTTAGTAACTGGAGCAGAAGATGAAATCATGCATTTCCGATAAAATATACTAAAATTTGACTGGAAGAAGAATCGATAAGAGAATCAAAGATGAAGGATTCCTCCATTTAGATAGAGTATATATTAAGTGGAATACATGAGGTGTTACGAACATGTTCTATTAGTATATAACGAAGTAATTATGGGAAACGTAAAAGTAGAATAAGAACACTCCCAATAGAGGATTCTAGCTCTTGGATTCTAAATATATATATATATATATATATATATATATATATTATGTGTATGTAATTGCGGAGTTCTAAGTTTTATGGAAAACCCAATCAAAAATATATTAGTAGAGATACTTTTGGTTGGATGTCCTATAAAGTTAAAAATTTCATAATTAAATATTAATATATATATATATATGTATTTGTAAATTATCCAAGATGAGAATTCCTCATTTAAGGTATTCTAAGAGAAATTGATTCATGAAAACACAAATAGCCACCCTATGTTTAGAATAGTCTGAAGCTTTGTTCATAATGACGCTAGGTATTAATTGTGTAGATGATAAAGGTCTAACGAATTAATGATTAATCAGAAATTACACGGAGATTGTATAAGACCTAATTTTAAATATTTTATTTATTAAATAACCTAGATATTATATTCTAGTTTTATTTTGTTTGAATAGTAAGTAACTTAAATTTGACTCTTGATTTCAAAAATGATAAAGTGAATAGTTTTAAGAGAGAGTAAACTTTTTTATTATAATATAAATTGTAATAAAATCACACATATATTCATATAAATATATATATATATATATATATATATATATATATATATATAAGACTTAAGGAATCACATTAATTAATAAAAGAAAACTTAAATAGACGACCGAGCATAATTGGGCATATATATATACATAAAACTTTAGGAATCACATTAATTAATAAAAGAAAACTTAAATAGACGACTGAGCAGTTGTCAAAGAAAAAAACAAAATAGACGACCGAGCATAATTGGGCTTCAAAAGTCAAGATGGTGGTGAACCGACTTATTTGTTTATGGTCAATTTAGAGAAAGGTCTTTAATTAGTGGGAAAACAAATATCTGAACTATAAAAAAATCTATACTATTATTTGAAAAATAAATTTGCTGAGTTGTTATATTCTCAATAATTTTAAGTTTTACTTATTTATTATATTTTTATAATTTTGACTAATGATGAATTCTTATTCTTAATGTATAATTAAGTTTATGAATATATACTATAAACTAAAAAACCAATTAATATGTAATTAACCTTAATTAAAAAAATTCCTTCAATGAATGATTATCATTATCTAAAAATATTTTATATTAATTAATGAAAAACTAAAAGCAAATTAATGTATAATTAACTATTAATTAATATCATATTTTATTAATTTAATAATTATCATTATCTAAAAATAATTTATATTATGTTATAAAGGTTTTATTAACGTTAATTAATAGTTACATTAATTATTATATAATTAACCATAAATTAAAAATATATTTCATTGATTTGATAATCATCTTTGTATAAATATAGTTTATGTTGTGTGATTCCAAAATATAATTACACTATATTTTCTTTAGAAAAGTTTAACATCTAAAAGATAAATCCCTATATATATTGTATATAATATTAATGCATATATTAATGTTTCAAATTTATTTTATACAATAAAAGATTATTTTATTATATTGAAATTTTTTGTCATAAGTAAAAAACTTAATATTTAATTTATCACTAAATATTTCAAAAATATTAGTGTTTTTAACTTTTTCTGATGAAAAGTGTTTTTAAGTTTATGAATGAATTAACATTAATTTATTTTTAAATTTATTTCAATTGATTAGGTATTTCATTTAAATATTTTTATTATGTTTGCATGTGCGAACAAAACATCTAGTTATAAACAAAAAAAAAACTGAACCTTCCATACATTAGTTTTTTTAAGTTTATGAATGAATTAACATTAATTTATTTTTAAATTTATTTCAACTAATAATGTATTTCATTTAAATATTTTTATTATGTCCGTATGTGCGAAAAACATCTAGTTATAAAGTAAAAACTAAACAAATTCTTTTCTCGTTTACATTAAGAGATTATATCACTTTTATATAAAATTACATATATCATTATTATTATTATTAGTTTAACATTACTTATATAGGAAAATTATTATTATATGAATATTTATATGATAATTATTTATTATTATTACAAAAAAAATTAAGTAAAAAGTATCTTGTTATATAAGTTAATGTGACAATATGAAACATTTAGCTTAAGACCTAAGGAGTCAAATACATTAATAGGAAAATCATTTTAGGGGGAGAGAAGAAAGCTTAAATAGACGGCTTTGAGCACATCTGTCCCTCACCAAAAGTCAAGAGAGAGACAGAGACCAGTCTTCGTGATAGCAATTCGATTCCGCGATCAGACAACTTTCTCCAAACAATCCATGGCTGAGATTGCTAGGGATCTCCACTCGCTTCTCTCGTCTCCGGCAAGGGATTTCCTCATTCGTAACAACGGGGAACAGGTAAAACATTGTTTCACTCTTCTATCTCGATTCTGTGTTTACAGTTTGTTCTCCGTTGATTTCAAATTTTTGTGTTCTTCTGGTTGATTGTTTCTCTTACATGATTAGATGGCTTCGTATCGGTTGGTACTGTTTGCATAAACTGCTAAGATTCTGTATGGATGTGTTGACTACGAAACATCATGGCTCATGAAAACGATTATACTTATTAGCTATTTGCTTGGAGTGACTTGCGATTATAGTTTTTGAGTATATGCATTTTGTTTTATGTTTGCAGTTGAAAATCGACAGCTTGAAAGGGAAGAAGATTGGATTGTACTTCTCAGCTGCGTGGTGCGGACCATGTCAGCGTTTCACTCCACAGTTGGTTGAAATATACAACGAACTCTCTTCCAAAGTTGGTTTTGAGGTTGTCTTTGTGTCAGGGGATGAGGATGAAGAGTCCTTCAAAGACTACTTCTCTAAGATGCCGTGGCTCGCTGTCCCTTTTACTGATTCTGAAACCCGTGACCGCTTGGATGAGGTTTTTAAGGTTAGGGGGATTCCCAACCTGGTGATGATTGATGATGAGGGTAAACTCGTGAATGAGAATGGTGTTGGTGTCATCCGAAGCTATGGAGCTGATGCTTATCCTTTCACACCTGAGAAGATGGAGGAGATCAAAGAGGAAGAAGAGAGAGCTCGGAGAGAGCAGAATTTGAAGTCTGTCTTGGTGACTGCTTCTCGAGACTTTGTGATTTCTCGAGATGGAAACAAGGTACCTAGATTCTTAATTGGCTTTGTTTACTTCATGTAACTGATCACAGTTGTCTTATTCACTAGGTACCTGTATCGGAACTTGAAGGGAAAACCATCGGTCTTCTCTTCTCGGTGGCCTCTTACAGGCAATGTACTGAGTTTACTTCGAAGCTTTTAGAGGTTTATAAGAAGCTGAAGGAGACTAATGAGGATTTTGAGATTGTTCTGATATCTCTTGAGGATGATGAGGAGTCTTTTAAGAAGGACTTTGAGACCCATCCATGGCTGGCATTGCCGTTCAATGACAAAAGCTCATCGAAATTGACTCGGCACTTCATGCTGTCAACGCTACCCACGCTGGTCATTCTCGGCCCTGATGGAAAAACACTTCACTCGAATGTTGCTGAAGCTATTGATGACTATGGAGTTCTTGCATATCCTTTCACTCCAGAGAAGTTTGAAGAACTCAAGGCCATTGAAAAGGCAAAGCTAGAGGCTCAAACACTCGAGTCACTCCTTGTCTCGGGTGATCTCAACTACGTTCTCGGAAAAGATGGGGCTAAGGTAAAGCTCTCTCTACCCTCTTAGTATTTTTAAGCATGTTCAATGTTGATCTCAACAAATCTCTAAAAAAACTAGGATTTCTTTGTCAGGTGCTTGTGTCTGATCTGGTGGGGAAGAACATTCTTTTGTACTTCTCAGCTCACTGGTGTCCTCCATGTCGCGCTTTTACACCAAAGCTTGTTGAAGTTTACAAGCAGATAAAGGAGAAGGATGAAGCGTTTGAGCTCATCTTCCTCTCAAGTGACAGGGACCAGGAATCATTCGATGAGTACTACTCGCAAATGCCGTGGCTGGCTCTTCCATTTGGTGATCCTAGGAAAGCGTCTTTGGCACGGACCTTTAAGGTCGGTGGCATCCCAATGCTAGCGGCTCTCGGACCAACTGGGAAAACCGTTACAAAAGAAGCAAGGGACCTCGTGGGAGCACATGGAGCTGATGCTTACCCTTTTACTGAGGAACGTATAAAGGAAATTGAAGCCAAGTACAATGAGATGGCAAAAGAGTGGCCTGCGAAGGTGAAACATGCGCTTCATGAAGAACATGAGCTAGAGCTGACTCGTGTTCCGGTTTACATATGTGATAAGTGTGATGAAGAAGGGCAAATCTGGTCTTACCATTGTGACGAGTGCGACTTCGATCTTCATGCCAAGTGTGCTTTGAAAGAGGATGCGAACATAAACGGCGATGATGCTGTGATAGAAGGTGGTGGCGAGTCCAAAGATGGTTGGGTTTGTGACGGAAACGTGTGCACTAAGGCCTAATATTATTTGTTCAGACTCAGTTATATGTATGCTGAGCTAATTTTCCTTTCCCTTGTATAACAAATAAGAGTGAGAAAGTGTGGTGTCAAAACTGAGTAGAAATACTCGTTGTTCTTATATTTAACGTTCCTTGTTTTAATTTGAGAAAACAGTCATTTAAATACTGAACTTACTCATATTCGCCAAAAACTACCTGAATTCTTTATTAACCTTAAAAATAACAAATTTTTGTTGACTGCATCGTTTTAGATATAAGAGTAGTCAACATTAATTATTGTTACGCGGCCGTTTAGTGTTAACGATGGCTGAAACGAAGTCGTTTTAAAATAAAAAATTTGTCACTTAAATCCCCAAATCGAAATTATATGAACCCTAATTAAATTCGATTTCATCTCTTCTCCCTCTTACCTTTATTCCTGTTAGAATCCTAATCCAAGACTGCAATTCACTTCTTCCATGATTCCTCGTCAAAATCCGATCATAAACCCCAAGTCAAGGAGGCCAAAGATTCCTATGCATCGACTCACCAAGTCAATAGAACTCGAGCATGAACCTCTGCCTGTGGTTGAAAGCAACGAAAAAGAAAGGAATGGAGATGAGAATGCTGAAGAGGAGCGTGAACTTGTACCGGGTGATGACTGTGAAGCCATTGTTGAAGATTCTGATGATGAATTGGTAGAACAAGTTGAAGAGAATGATTTGAAGAAGGTGGTATTCAAGTTGAAGAAGAAGCTTGTGAAGTGTTATCTACACACTTTGGAGATGTCGCAAGAGATGATGGAGTAGACGATAATGAGAACGGATATGATGACTGTTGGAAAGAAGATAATACACCTGATCCTTTATCTTCTGATGATGAAGAAATGATGCGCGAAGGGAAACTCGAGAGGATGAAGCATCAAGCAATGAGATTTTGACATTGGGAAAGACGTTTTCCTCTACAGCTGAGTTCAAGCAAGCACTTTTGAGGTATTCACTGAAAACAAGCTACGACGTTAAGCTGTACATTTCATCACAACTAAAGCTTGGTGTTGTTTGCTCGGACACTGAATACAATTGTCCTTGGAGGGTGTATTGTTCGTATGAAAAGAGGAAGCATGAGCTGCAAATAAAGGTGTATGTTAATGAACATGCTTGCATCAGGTCTAGTTACTCGAAAATGTTGAAGAGTTCATCGATTGCGCAGCTGTTTACTGAAAGATTGAGGTTGAATGCAAAGCTTATAGCTATAGAAATGGCTGAAGAGTTAAAACGCACTTACAACTTGATAGTAACCGATGAGCAGTGTCGAAAAGCGAAGACAAAAATCACTAGGGCGAGGAGAGCAGGCCATGAAGCTCACTTTTCGCGAATATGGGATTATGAAGCCGAGTTTCGTAATAAAAATCCAGGCACCATCACTGAGATATTGACCATTCCAGGAGTAACACCAAGACACAAACAAAGGTTTGATCGCTTCTATGTATGCTTTGAGGCAAAAAGATCGGCTTGGAAATCCACTTGTAGACCAATCATAGGTATAGATGGAGCCTTTCTCAACTGGGATGTGAAGGGCCACTTAATTGGTGTTGTTGGAAGATATGGAGATACTCGCATTGTGTCAATTGCTTGGGCTGTAGTCGAGATCGAGAATGATATCAATTTGCAATGGTTTGTCAATCATCTGAAGGTGGATTAAGAACTTGGTGATGGAAGTAACTTCACAATCATATCTGATAGGCAAAAGGTAAAAATTTATTTCCTTAACGATGCTAAGTTAGCAACTGATGTTTATCTTAGACTATTTTAGACAAACTCGTTCTGATGTTTATTTGATATGTTATGCTGTTTTGTAGGGTTTGTTGAAAGCTGTTAATCTAGAGCTCCCTAATGCAGAACATAGAATGTGTGCTAGACACATTCTTGGGAATTGGAAGAGAGATAGCCATGACCCGCAGTTAGAGAGATTGTTCTGGAAAATAGCTCGATGTTACACTTTAGAAGACTTTCGTGAGCAAATGAATGAGCTTCAGAGATACAATCCAGTGGCGTATCAAAACCTTCAAGTCACCAATCCTCAGACCTGGGCACGGGATTTCTTTAAGGTTGGTTCATGTTGCAATGATAATCTGAACAACCTTAATGAATCGTTCAATAAAACAATCCGTGAGGCTAGGCAAAAACCTCTTCTTGACCTGCTAGAAGAGATTAGGAGACAATGCATGGTTCGCACAGCAAAACGGTCTATAATTTCTAATAGAGTGAAGACTAGATTCACCAAACGAGCTCATGTTGCAATAGAATCTGCTAAAGCTAAGGTTCATGGTTGTGTTATATATATGGCTATAGGTAATGTCTTCGAGATTGATCACCATGGCTGCGGTTATAGTGTGGATATGAATCTGAAAACTTGTGGTTGTGGGATGTGGCAACTAAATGGAATTCCATGTCATCATGCGGCTTGTGTGATCTCCGCAAAGAAGCAAAAAGTGGATGACTACGTTTCAGATTACTACACTACTATTAGATGGAGAAAGAGTTATGAGCATAGTATTAGGCATGTTGACGGGATGAAGTTGTGGCCGGCGTTGAACAGGCTACTTGTGTTACCTCCACCAAATAGGTTAGGTAACCGAGGAAGACCAAGTACTTATGCTAGAAAGAAAAGTGCCAATGAATCATCTTCACAGTCAACAAGTAAGACAAGGATAAGTCGTGATAAGCGCATTATGACTTGCTCAAACTGCAGAGAATAAGGACATACCAAGGTTAGAAGTTCAAATCTGAGGGTCGAACCCGAGCCTAAACGACCACGAGGTCGGCCAAGGAAGGATCATGTATACTTGTGTTGTTCTTTTTATGTTTTCACTTGTACATGATATTCATATTCTATGTGTTTGTATAGGAAGGAGGGTCACAACTTGCTTCACAAGGAGGATCACAACTAGGGTCACAAGGAGGATCACAACTTGGATAGTAAAGATGATGGTTCTACTGTCTTGTTATGTTGGTGATGTCGTGTGCTTTTAGTGTGTTTTGGTAAACTTGATGTTGTCTTTCTTTGTTAAACTCGTGTGCTTTGTTAACATTGATGTTGTCTTCTTTTTATCTTTGTTAAACCACTATGAATCAATCAATCTATAGCGTGTGCTTGCTTAGTAATTGGTCTGTGACCTGATATTTTTGTAAATAGACATAGCAAAAGAGTGATCTGATCAAGATATGCTGTGACATGATCAAGAGATGATGTTAATAGACAGAGCAAAAGAGTGAACTGATCAGGATAGTTTTAAAAATTAACTATACTTTAGGTCTTAAAATCAGTCACAAAGTCTTACAAATGATAAAAGAACCAACACAACAACACCAAGAACTCACACATAATGTCTAATCTAAGCCAAGTCGAGCTTAGTAGAAGTAATGGACAATGACCAGTACAAGAATCATCAAGCAAAGCATTCCAGAACACATTTTCCACTTTCTCATCTGATATTTCATCACTTGATTCATCTCCATCAAGCTTTCGACTTCGTATTTTAGTTTATACACTTTGATATGTTGCATATTTACTTGGTTTTAACCTTGCATTCTTGTTGAACATATAGATTAGATTTAGGCACTCTTAGGTTGCATTTTGCATTCATTTGTTTTTATCAGGTGGTGAAACATGCTGTGGAGTTCTTGGAGGTGTTTGGGATCAATTATGTGCCAAAAGAGAGTGCAAAGATGTCATTTGGGGAGCCGGAGCAGCCACAGCGGAGTCAAGAGGTCGCTGCAAGCAACATCAGTCACAGCGGACCCCCGGGGCGGAGTCAGGGGGTCGCTCCAGACTAGGGCTGGGCAACCGGTGTACCATTCGGGTGTCGGTTCTATCTGAACCGGGTTCGGATTTTCTTGGTGAACAAAAACAGGCCCCAATCGGGTAATATTGAAGATCGGTTCGGTATCGGTTCGGGGGCTAAACGGTTCGGGTCGGGGGTGGTTAACTGGCGTGGAACCGGTACAACCCGGAATACTTTCGGGATCGGGTAGAAATATGTATTTCGGTTCTTTAAGTATACCATTTGTAGCGATTGTAACCAATCCATTCACAATAATTTTGTAACTTGCAAGACAAGTAAACTAAAAACAGAGTAACAAAACATTTGTTAACCAAAAATCCCTAAGTAAAGACCTGTTTTCAAAGAAAGCATAATCATATTCAGAGAAAACCATAACATTATTGATAGCAGAGTTTAAAACGTAACAACTCAGAGAATCCAAAAAAAGCCAAAGCCATAACATTATTCAAACTTCAATGAAATAAAAATCAAATTCAAAAAACTTCAAACACCATGCTTCAACCTTCACACGCCTTCATCTACTCCTTGCTTCGAATTTGAAGCTTCAATCATCAAGCCTCTGTGCTTGAAACTCTGCAACATAAAAACAAAGCACAAGAGAGGAGCTTAGCAATAACAAATACAGTAAATAAGACAGTCTAACGAAACTAAGGTAAGAGATATAAATACCTTTCTGAAGTCGATCAAGCATCTCCACGTCTGCAAGCATTTGCTCATTTGTAGTCACTTGCGAACTCACCTTGATGTCAGCATGCATCCATTGCTCAGTGCACATGAGAACTTCGATCATGTAATGAGTCAAGCAGCTTCAATATGGCTCCAAGATCCTACCACTTGTGCTAAAAGCACTCTCGGATGCCACTGAAGAAACTTGCATGGCAAAGAGATCTCTTGCCATCTCAGCAAGCACATGAAACTTCATCTTGTGAACCTTCCACCAAGAGAGAATGTCAAACTCAACACCAAGCAAGAGATTAGGAGTTTCAACTGCCTCCATCAAGTACACTTCAAGTTCATCTCTTGTATCCTCTCCCTTCTCAGCAACCAGATCCTTGTATACACAGTCCATCCTCTCATAACCGAAATCTTCAACCACCAGCTCCATTCTATCCTTATCTGTGCCTTGATCTTGGGACTCTAAAGGAGGCTGAGATGATGATCCGTGATTTGACTGAGAGGCTTCTCCAGTAGACACTCTGAATCTTGTGTTGTACTCCTTGAACATAGACCTGAGAAGGTAATTTAATATTTAAAGCACAAACGTAAATTAAATATTGATACAAGTAATATGAGATGGATTAATGGGCATATACCTGAGAAGATCACCAA